ACCTAATTTTGAAAAGGCATGAAAAGTTTCAGAGCAACAAATATAAAAGAAGTGTCTTCCAGTTTTGTTTTATTTCTAGGTAAAGGTAGGTAAACGTCAAGAAATCTCTTTAATTTTATATTCTAAAAAAGAATGATTTATGGGGAAGAGAAATCAAATTACTTACCTATAATTGGAGGTTTTTGAAGGTAGTTCCCAGTTTCCCTAAAGGTAACACTGAAAGATATATAATGATTCACCAGTTTGTACTACAAAGTTAGGAGGTGGGAATTCCATTTATTATTCAACTCTATTAAGAAAGATGATAAAGAAAATTAAACATAGGAAACACGGAAATGAAAAGAATATATATTCATCCTTTTTCTCACCTGTCAGAAATCCCCGTAACTTTCAAATGAGAAAGATGTGTGAGCTAAACAAGAAGTAGAAAAAACTGTGTTCACAGAAGATGACTTTTTAAAATTGTGATGCCATTGCTGTGAATTCTTGGTTTCTTGTACACGAAGATACTGGTGCCTGAAAGAATCAACAACGTGTCTATATGGTTTGGCTTGTAAATACAGGTACATATTTGACCTTTCACATATCTGAATGACTACCAAAATTACAAAGCCTGCTCCAAAAGTAATGCCTCCTGTTATATTATGCTGGTCCACAACAGAGGAAGATGCTGGTAGTATAGCGCTAAAGGTTGAATCTTCCAGACAATCTTGCATTACATTTGTTGCTGTATGGAAAATGGCAAAGATGGCAGAAAAGAGGCAGTCTGAAAGAACAGTGCCTGACATGAAAATGCAGATGAAGTGCAGGCGTGCTCCATGCAGAAAAAATGGCACCAACTGATATTCATCGACAACTGTTGAACATTGCTGGAGACCAAATAGTGATGCGAGCACAGTGAGAAGGTGAGTGACACATTTTAGCAGTGATAACAGTATCAGTGGGTCACCTCTTCCAGAGCAGATATTTTTTTAATGAGCATAGCATGCAGGCTCTTATTCACTGCTGATGAAAATGTATGTTGAAAAAGTGTTTTGTAGCTGAGAATTTGCTCTGCCAAATAGTGTTATTTTGCTCTTCTTGTCTTTTGTAGTTCCTAAGGAAATAAATAGGATGCATTACTTTCAGAACAACTCACATACCTTTGGCTTTAGCATTCTAACTGGTCTGGTATTGCAGACTAATGTTTCAAGCTTTCACTGGAAACAACTTCAGTTCATATTACTCAGCAGTCCTCTCTTCACTTCAGTGGAGTAAAATTTATTTGTTAAGTATAATCCCTTACATTTTAATGACATTCTGTGTAAAAGAGAAAGACATTGTGGGCACACAGCAAATAGAAAAGGATGTAAATGTACACACAAAGAAGAAAGGATCACAAGCCCACAACGTAAGAATCTGAATGCTTGTTCAGACAGCAAACAGCTGAGAAAATTTAAAAGCAGAGGGATGATAGAAAATGCAGGAACACATCATCTCAAGAAAATTTTCATATTTCTACTTGATAGAGTACATACTTAGAATATAAAGAAAAGGACCTGTAAATATTAACTAAGGCAGTTTCAACCATTTCAAACATTTTACCGGAAGTTTGAGCTTCTGAAAACCTTAAAATCATAACAAAAATCATGTAAAAATAATTTAAAAAAAAAGCAAACAAATCCTTTTAATCTTCCCAGAAAAAATTTTTAATGACCTTAAAGGTCAAAACCTTTTAATCTTCCCAGAAAAAAAAAATATGTGTGTATATATATATATATATATATACACACACACACACACACACACACATACATACATATTTAAAAAATCTTTAACATGCTACTAGAAGAGAAAGAAAGCACTATCAAACAAAACAAATTGTACTCTCTTCTTTAGGATACAGCATAATGCACTTCATAAATAATTATCCATAATCTTCATAATTATTCTTAAACCTCAGAATTTTTCTTACTAGAACTGGTTCTAGCAATCATCTCTAAGATTCTCTCTTAGTCTGTTAATTAACAATTTGATTTTTTTTTTCCTTATAAATTAAATCAAAAGCAAAATCTACACAATTAAAATAATCAAAATAGGTGGGGATCTGAGGATTAGGGATCTAAAAGCATTTTAGTTCTGGATGTGAATCTATTTAGAAAGTTTCAGAGATTTTTGTATTATCAGAAGGTGCTCTTTAAGGATGTTCACACAAGTCAACAAAGATACACTGGGGGAAATCCAGAAGTAGTAGCTAGTTTTCAATCTCTGAAGTGTCCCTATGGGAAATTTTCTGAGCTTTCCCAAGCGATACCAACTGGAAAGAGCAAGCTGCATCCCAGCTGAGAACCTTACATTAGCTTTCAGGACACTAAGCCTACCCAAAGAGACATCCATACAGAGACACTACTCAAGAACAAGTAGAAAAATTCTCATCCAACATGCATGCTAAAAATTGGAAGTTTTAGCTGGAATCTGAGTGCCATGAACAGAACATTTTTTATATGATTGTGATAATATAGACAACATTACACATTTTAGATTCATCCTGAGTTCCTAACCAGCATCCTTAATTCCTGGGCATACATTAAAACTAGCATGGGGCAATGAAATTTACATATTCTGTGGTAAGAAACTCCATGGAGAGCAATTTTACAGCTTTCAGAGATCACTTCTCTGATAAAATGATTTTGTATAAACCTCTCTTGTATACACTCTTTCTTAACTGACATTTTTCGATCTTTAATGAATCCAACATAATGCATCTGAACATTCTGAATGCTCTGTAATTTTAATTGATTATTGTAGGTGGTTACAAGGAAGGTATAACAATTGCACATCTCAAGAGAATGTGATCTATATTTGTTTAGATGTGTAGAATTAGGTTATCCAAAAGTAACTGTTAAAAACAGTCTAATAAAACCATAAGTTCAGTTCCTAGAACTGATAGTTAAATCAATAATGTGCAACCTATTATTCTGGTTGGCATAAGCCTTGAGTAGTCTGTCAGCAGAAGGTTATGCCATGAAACATAATTAAAGATAAAATTGATTACATATCTAAATCTTGAAACTGAAAAGGTTTTCTGATGATTACTGAAATACTGAAGTATTTAATTCATCTCCAGTTTAGAGCACATCAGTAGAAAATTCTCTTTTGCAATTGTGATGTATTACTTCTAAATTTACCTTTATTATAACAATATACTTTTTCATTCTAAGAAGTGGTTATGAATAGAAAACTGATATTGCTTGAAAATACCAGTTTGAAATGTCTAGTAATGAGAACAGATGAATCCTTCCTAACATATTTCTGCACTTATTTTACTGTATCTCCACATGAGCTTTCAATGCAAATTAAACTAGTAGAAGAATCATAATTGCTATTTTTATTTTTATTTAAGATAGTTTTCCTCTGAAGTTTAAAGGAAAACAAGAGCAAGGCATGTATCTTGCTTTTGTGTAAGGCTCTACAATGATTTGGTTATAATGGGTCCTGAATAAGAGAGAATCCATACAGTGTTACATCTGACAAACCCTTTATACATTTCTACATAAGATGTAATTGTGTGAAGCCTATGTATTTTTCTTTTTGTAAAAAAGGAAAGTCATTTTACTGGTCTCCATGCAGACATATGGGTGAGACTAAGAGATCTAGTTTCAGGTGTACTGAAGACACCACACAACTTTAAATAGGTCAGTTAACTATTGTACAACTCCGTCTGCCTTTTTGTGAAAGGAGAACAAAAAGTAGATTTAAAAAAAAAAATAAAAAAAATCCCAAAACATAATAAAACAGTAAAATAATATTTATATTCTTGTAGTTTTCCAAGGCTTATGCTACATGCTTCAGCTACCTTCATATTATGTGGCATGTTACAGAACTACAACTAATCTATGCCTATAATGGAGAAAATAATACATTTCATTATTTTTATTATACATTTTTTATAGTAGTGTAACTTCAAAAAGATTTCACTCCAAAGACACAGTACTTGTACTCTGACAGGAGAATAGATCATCCCACCCAGTGCCTTTTCCTCTGTATATTTTTGTTTGTTGAAGAATTGTTAAAATGATAAGGATATAATCATTATTCAGCATCATAATCAAGAATCAACTTTGCATAGGGAAATTGTCTAAATTAATCCTTTAAAAATGTATTTTAAGCTTTCATTTTGCAGTTAATGAAAAGAATGGTGTTTCAGTGTTAGTATTTCAACTGTATCAGAGTGGTAAGTAGCATATATTATGCTAGACTGGGGGAGAGAGCTACTATGTTTCATAGTTTCTTGTTTTCTTTCACCCACTTACACCAAACTGCTAGCCAAACCTAGTGGCTGAAGAACACAAAGCGTCATGCACAAGTTTTAGTAGGCAGTCAGCCTGCAAATTTCAGAGCTGTCAAGGCTACATGTTTCAATCAGTTTTGACATCTCTTGGCATTTCTCTTCAGATTCTACTTTCTATAAATAACTCCCCTACTTGAGTGTTATTTCTGGTTCATTTCTCACCATACAGCAAGAATGCTTCTCACCTTTTACTGCGACTTCCCCTTGTCTTCACTTTCAAAATATATATAAACAAGAATTATAATTTACCTGAATTAAAAAAAAAAATCTAGTAGGTTTTGATGATGGTACATGTGTTTCATTTTAATTTGTAATTGAGATCTTGAAGAAATTACCAGTAACTCCTTTTCTTATTTGAGATAGTTGGAGTTTTCTGGCAGCATTTTGATTGAGCTGACAAACTAACAGTCTCAGTCATAGTAGGAGAATCTAGGAAAGGAGTTATACCTATATAAAAGGTTCTGGGAGCTTCTGGAGGCTCTTTAATATTTGTACCTCCTTGTTTTCTACTTCTTTCTAAACTACTGAGAGATGATAGGACTTGATGATTGTCTGATAAGTGTTCTTTAACATTGCTACTTCTCAGATGTAAGCCAAGCTATCACAAGACTTTGCTGCTTCTTTTCAGGGAATTGTCCTAATGAGGAAAACATTTTAGATGTTCACTTACCAGTACAATCCTGAAGTGAGTCAGAATAACATCCATCCCATTCAATACCCAAAAAGTGTCCATGAAACCACTAAGTGACTGTCCTGCTGGATGTGAAAAGAAGAAATGGAAATACCTATGAGACTCCATAAGGAGTCACCATCATAAAAATAAAGGCTTTTAATGCAGATCTCTGTGATTAAAACTTCTCTGGGTAACTAGTACTTTGATTTCTTGCTTTCAACAGCATACTAACAGCATTGCTGAAACAATCACTGTTAATTTCCACAATCCAGATAATTTAACTTATCTATAGAAAGCTTGTAAATTGAATTAAAACATCATGCAATAAAATGCAAGGGCTGCTCTGAAAGTGATGCCTCCTGTTTTATAATGTTGGTCCCTGAGGTCAGATGCAGCTCTACTGTCAGTACAGCATAGCAGTTGAGGCTGAACCTTTCCACCAGTACCCCATTATATTTTGTTGCCATATGACAGATGGTAGTAGCAGGGCAGTCTGAAAAAATTGTTCTGATATAGAACAATGTGTGAAGTGAAGATACGTCACTGAATTCCTCCATATAGAAAAAGTGGCACCCATTGACACTTGCTGAACACTGAGACCAAACTGTAGATATGAGCACAATGAGATGGTGAATCATTTCAGGAAGGGCAACAGTGACACAGACAAGCCACATTCCAGACATTCATACAGATTTTTTTTTTTATCTATCTTTTGCTCACAGTTGGCAAAAAAAGTGCCTAGCTAATGGCAGCGACTATGTTGAAAATTAGTGTTTTGTAGCTAAGAGTGCACTCTTTCAAATACTGTTGTAATCTTTGTATCTGTTGTAGTTCTCATGGGAATCAGTGGGAGGCATTACTTTCAGTGCAACCTACGTTGATTTGAAGTTGAACCAAATAGAAATTATGATAGAGAACCAATAACAGTTCCTTCTAAGAATCCCTTTTGGACAATTCTCTTCTGTATTTTCATTAGCAACACAGAATGCAATATAATTACAAGCAATTACTGCCACACCTACAAAAGTTTTAAAGAATAACAAACGAGGAAGAAAGCCACTAAACAATGAACTAATTGCCAATAAATAGGCTTAGAAAACAGAAACATTATGTGAAATATATATGTAAGCAAAACATTCAAGCTATGACAAAAGAATCATTCTGAGAAAATAGGATTTATGGAGTCATCAGCTACAAGCAGTGCAGGATAAGCTTGCCACTGCTAAAGGTCTACTGCAATCTTTGGTAATACAAAGAGGGGAATTTAAAGCTGAAGAATGCACATGCAGTGCTAGCAAGACTTGTATTAGAAATACAGTATTTCTGTCTTTTTTTCAAACACAAACAGTTCAAAGTGAGTGTGGAAAAACAAAAAGAATCTAAAAAGGTCTCATTCTAATTGTAATGCAACATTTAATGCATCTTAGCTTGTTCAGCCTGTGGAAGAGAAAGTGATCATCCTGTCACAGAAAAATAGACAGAAAATAATTTGACAGTAGAACAAGAACAACGTACAGTAAGAGTTTCTCAACTTAGCTGAGTAAAACACAGAAAGCTATGATTGTTAGAAAATTATATAATGCAATTGCAAAGAATCTAGCAGTTCTGGTTCAGCTAAGACATCTTTCAAAGCTGATTTCACAGATCTCAATTCTAATATCCCCAATAAAGGTTGCCTCAGTAAGTAAGTACAGCCTATATTGCAAACAAGTTGTTTTTGATCTGAACTAGACCCAAGTTTTTTCCTAGGATTTCTTGCAAGATGGTATACTAACTGAAAAAACGATTTGAGTCTCTTGAATCATTACTAGAAACAGACATTTCAGTTTTCCTTTACTTTCTTGCTGAAAAGCAGATATTTTTAACTTCAAATCACTCCTGCAGTTCTTTCTTGAATCCATTTTAGAAATACAATAAAACCTGACCCAGTGATTGATAATCTTCTCATGAATGTTACATGCAGTAGAACAGCAAATATCTGCTTTTACTCCATGTTCTCCTGAACTTTCATCCAGCAATCATGTCTTACAATTTTAAAGAAGGATCCTGGTTTAAAACCTGTGATGCTACAAATCTCCTCAATAACTGCGGATTATGGTCTTGCTTTAAGAGTGCAGCACCACAGAGATATTGATTAATATGCACGTAACATATAACAAGATATTGGAAGTAACCAAAATTTGATTCTGTAAAAGCTGTCTTACTATCTTTTGATATCAGTTTACCTCTGTAATTTTACAGTTATCTGCAAAACATAGTACTTGGGTCTAATGCTGTGTTTCAGTGTAAGTATGCCAGCTGAGCACAGTCAGATGCTGTCTTCATTTAGAAAAAAATACCATTTTCGCCTACGATTTCTGTTAATATAGATACTAGCTAGTAATGATTCTAATTTTAAAAAACAAAACCAAAACAACAGCAACAAAACAAAAAAGAAAACCCAAACACTGTTAGAAATTCTCCCTGCAGATGACTTCAAATGTACAATCACTTAAATATTTATCACTATATATTACAAATGTTTAACACAATCTGGGATAAAAGAAACATACTCACTTGAAGCCATAGAACTTGTCCTTACCAATCCACATCAGTGGGCACCATTCTACTCAAGCAATGGAGTGAGTCATAGCTGGAAAAAAAAGTGAAAATGCATACTGTTTAACATGAACCCAGGAGTTCTAGCAGCCATGCTGATTTCCAGTTGTCCGTCCTTTGCCTGTTTAAAGAACCCCAGAGAGGAGAACTGGGATTATAGGAATCTGCAGAAACATTTCTTGTGATGTCAGATTACTGCCAATAGAATTAGCAGATCACTTATTATAATAAACACACACAAATAAGAAAGGCTTCATCTCCCTTCCACCCCACAATGTGTAGAATTTTTTTATTTCTGTTAGAAAATCTTTTCTTCCTCATCAGTTTGCATCCATAGATTTTCACTGCTGGCAATTAGTGAGCAGAAGAGATCCTGCTGAGGAGAACAAGTTAAAAGGGGACTTAAGAATGACTATGTCTGGGAAACAAGCAACCAGTCTGGAGCCACAGACTTCAACATTTCAATTAAGCACATTACAGAGATGAAGAGCCAGAGCAACTTCTCTTCTTAATTCCTTTTATCTGGGTCTCCAATCTGCTCACAACAGTATTTAGTCCAAAACTTAGTCCACTTCAGTAGGTTTGGGAAGGAAATTGCTAAGATTTCAGCATTCATTGTATCCCCAGAAAAGAACAATTTAGATAATGGCTTGCTACTGTCTGGATAATAACCAAATAACGCTTTTCACATCCAAACCATTTCAGTCTGGCATCTCCCAGGAAGCTCTGATACCTCCAGATGAAAACTAGAACATTTACACAGAAGGAAAGCTCTTCCTGCTGCCCAGCTTTGATCTGTAACATGAAGAAGCAAGAGACATTTTCAGTCAATTCAGTAAATCACAGTAGTCAGTCTTATGTGCCATACTTACAATGAGGAAAATTATTCTTCAGCTATGGATCAGCTTGAGATCTTTCCTCAAGGTCATAAAAGCTGCATAAACACAAGGCATAAGAGGGAGAAATGCTCCCCAAGTGCAACCATATTACAGTTCTCTTGCAAAAAGTGCCTTTTTGAACTTTCAAGATCATCTTAGCATCCCCGTTCATGAAGCCTGCATGGTATTTTAATGGTGTGAATAAATGACAATGACTTTAGGTAAATTATCTTTAAAACACTGTCAGAACACTGTTAAATAAAAGATGTCTTTTCAAACAGAATGTGAAATGTCACATAACATATTATCATTAACTGCCTGTTTTTTGAGGGAAAGTAGAGCTGAAGATGCAAAACTCTCTAGCAATATTAACTTTTCACAAACAAAATCTGCAAATACTGAGAACATTTCAAAAACCAATTAATTTCAGTTTCCAGCATCAAAAAACTGAACACACTTTTTGAAGTTGCCTGGTTCTTTTTGGTTTTGCTCTAAACTATCAGAATGTAACAAGAGTTACGAAGAATTATGCATCCACAAAGGAGAGATAAGGGATTTTCTTTTTAGCAGTTTTTAAAAATAAACTAAACAAAAATAAAATTAACCAAATGACACAGGAATTCACTTTGTAGTTGTTCCAGCAGGAAGGCTTCTATCACTGCAGCTGCGTTTTGGCACTCACATTCCTGCCTGCTTTACTGTTTTGAACAATTTCTTCCCTCTCCCAGCACTGCAATCTTCTACGCTCACCTAAACAAGATTATCCGAAACTATTTGGTCATCATAGTTAACTGTCATGCCCTTTGGAAAGATTTCCCAATACAAAATTTCTAGTAACTTAAGAAGTTTGGAAAGAAGATACTAAAATATACATACATAATGTTGATCCTGAATTACCACATTTAATTTTTGATCTGTATTTTTGTTAAGTTTGGAGATACTTCCTTTCAGGGTTTTGATTTTGAAATATGCTTCAACAATTTTATTTTATTTTTTTCCATGCAAGAGTACATTACTGCAAAAGATTTCTCAGTCCGTGATCCTATTACATTTCAGCACTGGCATTTTGGTAGAAATCCTGCCCTTACTTGCTCCCAAAGGGAGTCCACCCCCATCAACTTCAACAGGATCAGGATTTTTTTCTTCAGATTTAATTAGCATGTCTCATTTTATTTGTCCCATTTACCTACTTCATTGTCATATCATTATCCATTTTCATCAGATAAGATTGCATATATGTACTATCATATATATATACCTACAAAGTTCCATCCAGCCATTTAATCTTTCCCTGTCTCTGAAATAAAATCATTAACATACATCAAGGCACTTCTGTCTTATCGCCTGTTCCACTGAAATTGTGATGATGAAAAGTCAAGGGGGAAAAAAAAATAAAAAAATAGCTACAATGAAATGTCTGTAAATAAGGTTTTCATTGCCCCAGGACACAAGATTGTCTAATGGCTGGAACATTTGAGTTCCAGCTTCAACATTCTCTGCCCAGTTCTGCATTTCAGGAACATTACTAGAACAATAAAAAGAATCCTTTCCATTGCAAGTTGGACACTTTAAGCACAGTTTGGCTTGAATACCATTTTTGCATTTTATTCTGAGTAAAATCTATCCTGTTCTAACACCATAATGTAATGGAAAGCACAGCAATAATGACAGAGTGGCAAAATCCTACGCTGTAGCAAGTTGAAGATAAGCCCAAATTCATCAACCACAGAAACAAAGGAAAAAAGCTGCTTACCCACAGAAAACTACAGGTAGGTTGAAACCTCTAACAGGATACCCTCACTGCCACTGCCAACCTTTAAATGCGGTCTGAAAAAGGGTGGATCCTGGCTCCACTCCTTCCAGTCATTTAGGTGCATTGCAAACACCTGATCACTTAGCATTTCTGCTATACCCATCTTAGCCACAGTGTCATATGATTCTTATGGTCTGAGCCCCTCTGAAAAGGACCTTGGCATACTGGTGGGAGGCAAGGTGTACATGAGCAAGCAATGTGCCCTCATAGCCCAGTAAAGCCAATCCTGGGCTACATCAAAAGAAATGTGGCTAGCAGGGCAAGGGAGGTGATCCTGCCTCTCTGCTCTACGACAGTGAGGCTTCACCTGCAGTACTGCATCCAGATGAGGAGTCCTCAGTACAGAAGAGACATGAATCTGTTGGAGCTTGCCCAGAGGAGGGCCAGAGAAATGATCCAAGGGATGGAACACCTATCCTATGAGGACAGCTTGAAAGAACTGAGGTTGTTCAACCTGGCTCTGAGGTGACTGATAGCAGCATTTCAGTATCTAAAGGGGAGCTACAGGAAAGAAGGGAACAGATTCTTCAGCAGGGTCTGTTGTAATAGAACAAGGGGAAATGGTATAAAACTAAAGGAGGAAAGATATAGATTGGATACAAGCAAAAAGTCCTTTACATTAAAGGTAGTAAAGCGTTGCAACTGCTTGTCCAGAGAGGCAATGGATACCCTGTCCCTGGAGACATGCAAGGTCAGGCTAGACGGGGCTCTGAACAACCTGATCAGGTTGTGTCCCTGTTCAGTGCAGGGGAGTTGGGCTAAATGACTATTAAAGATCTCTTCCTGAAACAATCCTATGATTCTATTTCTAAAGCCTTGCAAGTATTTTTCAGCAGCACAGAACTACTTTGTTCCTGCAGTTGTACTCTACCTCTGGAAGAGGGTAATGGCGTGCTTGCAAAACAACCTGATTTTATCTTAGCTGTGCTGAGATGCTCAGGAGAAAACTGCTGGATGACAACAGTTCTCCTTTCTTGTACAAAGCTCACCAGTACTAGCAACTACAAATGTGCCCTTTGAAAGTCATTTTCATTGCATATCGACAAATCCAGTTATAATTCAGTTGAGTGCTCTAGAGAAAAGTAAGAATGTAGTATAGGGGATGCAGACTATATTCAAGATGTTCAAAGTATTTCAGAGTTTCTACTTCTTAAATAGCCAGAAGGGGGTGTCCATGTACAGTGCAACCTGTACATCCTCCCCCCACATTACGTACTCATAATACATTACTGGAATTTGTAGCCTTTGTCACTTCAATAATGAGCACAAAATTCTGACTCGAGGTGATGTAATCTTAGGCCAGCAGGTCAGCCAGTCTTCATATTAATCCTTTGCTCCGACTTTCAGTAATGAGCAATGAAATTGAGTACATATGTAAAAGATTTAGAGAATTTGCCCACAGATCCACTGTATTCACTTTTTTAGCAATTTATGTGGCTTTATTTAGCATTTTATCCACATTTGTATCATTCCTTTTTGGAAATAACAATGTAATTGTCATTTATGTATGACATGCATTGAGGTACCTGGTATTCGACAACTGCATTTTAAGATTCCAAATAACTAAAACTGTACAGTTATTTATATTATTTAAGCAAAGCTAAATGTTTAAATTACACAATAAACTGTGCTAATTTAAAAGCTTGCAGTAAGGAGACAACAATGCATTAATTTCCCTTTGATACTTTTCTTAGTGTCTAATCACTTTGGAGAGTTTGAGCGGTCAGAAGTATTTTGAATTATTTATTTTAAGTGCAGAGAACATTAACTATTTCAATTAAAATCAAACCTGCTGAGCTCACACAACATTCTCCACAATCATTTTCATCATATGTAGTTCTTTACTTGTATTCAGCAGGAATATAATTTTGCACAATAGCAGCTCCCAAGGAATATTTGCTGCACCTGGGGTAAATGACGTGCATTTTTGAATTTGTCTGACTATTCATTCATCTGAAATTGCTATGCAGTTCCATTGGAAGAAAAACAGAATGCTGAACAGGAAGATACTCCTGTTAAACAGCATATAGCTCATCCTAGTTTTTATTGTTTCTCACATTAGCATCAATGATAATAAGAAATCAGCTTGTATTTGCTTTTGCTAACCACAGAGGCCGAAACAGTCAGGGGATATGATATTAAAAGTCAAATTACAATAGAAAATCACAACTAACACTTTTTAATAGCAGCTAAAAATTAAATGCAAATAGCAAAGCATTCCTTTGTGGTCTTTGATTCAGTAAGGTACTAAAACACATTTATAGATGTATGCAAAATAAGAGATACGCTGAAGTTGAAGATACAGTAAAATTAAGCCTCTATTTAATAGCATTACACTGAATTCTAACTCAAAATATACAGAGATTTCCTCAGAAAGGTATATGTCCATGTTAAATATGTTCAGGCACACAGGTCCTTGTGTTATACTTACCTTACTAAATAAAATCCAAATTACTCTTTCTTTATGGATTACAGTAGGACAAGGAAGTAAAATATTGCATGTTTTGTACAATAGGCACTTCTCAGTGATTTTTCTTTCTTTCATCCTTTCCTCTTTTCCAGATGAACAGACCTTTTTCATTAAAAGCTAACTGTTATCGAAAATCTAAAATACAGTCATACAAAGCCCCAAAGAAAACATGCATTTTTAATTAAAGCTGAACCTCATTGCTGATTTTCTTGTTAAGTAACAGAAATATATAACTAAATAAATATTTATTTAGTAGGACAATGAGAGTCAATTATTTATTTATTTATTTGTTTGTTTGTTTATTCCTCTGGGAACTGTTTTATTGTTTGCTTCCTTTCTCTTGTTTGTTTGCTGTGTAATTTAAGACTGATGCCTCCTGGTGGGAAACAAAACTTGATCAGAGAACAGCCTGCACTGTCACCTAAACAAATTATGTTTAGTCACTGCCGATGTTAGCTCTGTCATAATGAAAATGTATAATTAATGTCTTTCCTTTTATCATCATGGAAAAAGAACTCTCTGAAACTGGTTTAAGAGGGGGAATTTTAGGACTGTGCCCTTTTCCTTTTTAAACATTATCACAGCAGATCACTACAGCAGCCATTTACTAAAAATGAATGATTGGATCATTCATCTTTACAGTTATTCACTGAATCTGCAGCTAAGGCATCCAACAAAACAAAACTGATCTGCAGTAAGAATTTACCAAAAGTAAGACAGGAAGGAAAATTCATTAACAGGTGAAACCCTATATTTCTCCTCTTAGAGGAGCTTGAAAAGATTAAGCTATTTCCATTAGTTTCCTGCAGAGTTGCAAGCAGTGATAATAGACATGTGCTAATTTCACTATTGCACTGCACTCTGAAACAACATTTTAGATCATCTTTCACCTGTGACATGACTCCTAATATCCCTAATTAGCAGCTCACTTTTTATTTTCAATTTTTGTTGTTGAATTTATAGCAACAGCTAAACATCTGGTATTATGACTGCAAATAGTCTCCATTTACTCACCTTAGGGATGCAGGATAGATTCAGACTATTTATATTTTGATCTAAAATTTGAAATGATCATATTATTCTGCTGTAATAGGTCCTAAGTGACATTAAATGGATGGTCTCAGCTTTTTCTTTCTAAAATGGACAACTCTCTTGCCTCTCATAGCTACTGCACTGCATGAAAGCTCAGTTGCAATGAAATAACAGCAACACAATTTTCAGAACTGAAATAACCTTTGATTTCTACAAAGACGCTTATAGGCCAAGAAATGGTAAAAGCAATGCAATAAAGTGCTCTAGGCACATTCTCATGTCATGAGTAACTTATCATTTATACCTAAGATTATTATCAGTTTGTGCAGCGATCAGATTAAGGATGAGAAAGTATCCATCCCTAAAGAGTTGTGATGTAGATTAGATGATAACATGGATAAAACAGGCTTGGCTTCTAAAAAAATCAAACTGCTTTATTTATGTATTTATTCCCATTGCAAGATATTAAATGATATCACTTCTATACAGAGTTTATTTCCACAGATGTTTCATTCTGAAAATCTCGAATTTCATAATTCCATATCACTATCCAAGTGATGTAACCATCATCATCATACCGTCTTGCAACGGAGAAAACTGTGGTACACAGCTTTTGGAAGTCATTTGGAAGACTTATCAGTAAGTATTTTGCTTGTTTGTTTTGGGAGGAGGAGCAGAATCAGAAATACATGGGAAGAGGTTGTAAATCCCATATCTTGAGCTGATACAAACTAGGTTAGATACTGTGAAGTCGTCAACAGCTAAGTTGAATTCAGACAAATCTGAAATCTGTTCCCAAATCTTCTGATTTATGTTCTTGTAAATGAATCACTCATTCAATTATTTCAAATTCAGAAGGCAGATACTGCTGTTAAATATGATACTATTCATTGATACACAGGAAGCGTTATGAATTTCACATTAAAAAAAGGGTTTGTTACAAGTTCACAGAACTTAAGTGACTTTAAAATAATTCAAAGTCAGCCAGAACTTCCATTAAATTCCAATTTACTTAGCTTTATTTCCTATGGAAATCTCATTTCCCCATGGCTTTTTCATCTGTGGGCTAAGATACCCTGAAACAAACAAACAAACAAACAAACAAACAAAAGCCAGACAGCTAGGATAGAAGAAGAACTAGGTAGAAATAGAAATGTCTTGTAAAAGACTTACTCAAAGAAGCCAACATGATCAAAAGATTATACATCAACAATAAATGAACATCCAGATCTTGAATTAGGCTAGAGTGTAGGTACTGTGGGTGGGACATCTATTCAAGTACTCGAATAATGAGAGGCTGGGAACAGGCTTGGCTTATTGCTTTAGTACAGCAGCTGACAACCTTTGGGGCAAGGAGTGAATGGGTCTTCCTATGCAGATCAGCACAATACCAAATTTGTCCTGATCTCTGGTTTCCCCCATTAGGTGCTGATATGCCAGATAAGACTGTTTGTCAGCTGTCAAAACTGGCTTTTAGGGCATACACGTAGTAGCAAAAGGATCAAGAT